TTACGTAAAAGGACCATTCATTACGTAAGGCTTCCGTAATGTCCTTTTACAACTATTACGTAAAGTATGCATCTATTACGTAAAGGTTACGTGTCGATAGCTATTTCTTACGTAACAGTTAAATTAGAAGCGTTACGTAAGTCTTCCGTAATAATTTAACAAATTACGTAACGAAAGGTTAATATTCATTACGTAAAATGAGTGTCTATTACGTAAGGTTTTCGTAATGACATTTTTCAACTATTACGTAAGATAAACACACATTACGTAACCATTACGTAATGCCTATTGTATTTTACGTAATACCACTTGTGAAACCTGTCATAAAAGGTAAAAAACATCAAATTACAATAACTTCAAGATATTGTAGGAATTTCCTTACATTAATTAGCTGCAATTACAGAACAAACAACTTCATAATTAGGAGGCTAACGGATGAACCTGCTGGTAACAGAAACACACTATTTAATTCGAAAAAACTAAATCGCGTGACACCTGTCACCATATGAATGGATAGCAACACGTCATGAGTCCTTACAGCAAGAGGAATGGAGGTTCCTTCAGGTTGTACGCCTCCCCAGCTTGCCACGTCCCTCCCACCCCTTCCACTTTCCTTCTCCCGTGTGTTCTATTCAATTCAATTAAACGGGCCGACTTAAGGCCCACGACCGAGTTTCCTTCCTCCCCACCTTCCTTTTCTTTCCCACACCGGTTTTCTTTCTTCCGACTTACTTTTGATTCTGTTCTTTGTATTCATTCTTTGATCATCCCGGCCGCCATTTCCAAGGCCCTGCCCCCTGTTTTGAAATCAAAAGCACAGAAAAGGTCAGAGGAGAGACCAGAATCACCTTTCTCCCCATTTCCCCCGGAACCAGTTTCGGGGGTTTTAGTTGAGAGATATAACAGCAACGAATACTGAATCTCTTCCTTCCTAACCCCCAAATTCACCTCATCGCTCGCCGTTTTGATCATTTCCCGTTTTCTTGATCTTATCTTTCGTCGTGAATGGCGGAGTCAGTGATGGATAACAAGAGCAAGAGCGAGGGTGGTAGCCGGCGCCGGTGGGCGGTTTTCTTTGCTATCACTGCTCTGATCATCGCTCTGGCCGCTGCTTCCACCGCCTCCCCCAAGATCTCTCTCTTCGGTAAAGTCAATAAGCTCTGCAGCTGCTCCCAGCAGCAGGTACGTTTTATTCTGTTCGAATTCTGTAATCTTTGCCTCCGTTTGACTTGGTCTGCGGCTCGGGGATTGACATGCATTATTATACAAGTTCATAGCTTTGTGAATCGTATTAGACCTGGTATTCTATTTCGAATGCTTTGCGATTCAGGGATTCAGGGGCGATTTGAGATTCTGTCCCCATCTGAGTGTTCGTTTTACATAATTGTTTCAGCTGATTTTGACTGGGCAGTTCTTAATTTCGTCTGTGTGTGCACAGAAATATACTGGGATTGTGGAAGATTGCTGTTGCAACTACGAGACGGCTAACCTTTTGAACGAGGAAGTATTGTATCCGTCTCTCCAGGAGCTTGTGAAAACCCCATTCTTCCGTTATTTCAAGGTCCTTCCCCCCAAACTCCACTGGGTTTTTATTAAAGTTAGAAACTTGTCATTTTCAAAGCATTACTATACATGTTGCCGTGCCAGCAATTTCTTTGCTTTGTGATCAAGAAGCATGATTTTGTAATTGCATTTGTCTTTATTTCTTGCTGCTCATTCCCGATCATACTGAACTGATAATGTTGTTTGCTTGGTTAGCTTTTCTTGTGGCTGATTTTTCTTTGGCCATTTGTGCTCTCTAACAGGTGAAATTATGGTGTGACTGTCCTTTCTGGCCGGATGATGGCATGTGCAAATTGAGGGATTGCAGTGTCTGTGAATGTCCGGATAATGAGTTCCCTGAGTTGTTTAAGAGGCCTTTCCGCCGTGGTCTACCCTCAGATGCGCCTATTTGTCAAGAAGGCAAGCCGGAGGCTGCCGTCGATCGCACCCTCGATCATAGAGCTTTTAGGGGTTGGACAGTGACTGATAACCCATGGACAAATGATGATGAGACTAACAATGGTTAGTCCCCTTTCTGGTCCCTAAGCTTCAAAGATATGAAATTGGTGTCGTTTTCATTTATGTTTGTCTTTATGTTTCATCCTATAAATCTTTTATGTTTGTGGTTTGAGTTGGTATTGGTATTCACTATTCTGCCACCCCTGATGTAAAACTACTAATGATCAGATCTCACAATTTATTGCTACTATTTTTCTGGTTAAAGATAGTTTATATTGAGCTATCAAATGTTGCTGCTGATGCAACTTTTCATTTACAGATGAGATGACGTATGTGAATCTGCAACTGAATCCTGAACGCTATACTGGATACACTGGTCCATCAGCTAGAAGGATATGGGATGCTGTTTACTCTGAGAACTGTCCCAAGTGTAAGTGCAGCTCTTACTTGCTTGGCGAATTGGTCTTTCTATTTTGACGAACATGCTTGTCTAATTGTTTTCATAGAAGAATTAGAATGACTTGCTTATAAACTTTTGACTTCTGAGGGATCTTACTATATTAACTTCCTTCACCTATGTTTGTTTATCCTGCTGTACATGGTGTTTCATGTTTCTAGTAATGTTATAAGCAGATCTGTTGCCGCCAAGAGCAAAACTAATATTTGAAGTTTCAACATTATCAACAGATCCATCTGAAGAGCTCTGCCAAGAGGAGAGATTGTTATATAAATTGATTTCAGGTCTCCACTCGTCCATTTCCATCCATATCGCAGCTGACTACCTGCTTGATGAAGATACAAACTCGGTATGAACTATACAGAACATGTTGGTTGGTTACTATATCTTTAACCATGGCAATTATAGAGAGCATCCTCATATTTCTCTGGAGAATAGTGTGGTCGTTACTTGAGATGTTGGCCTTAAAGTTGAAACCTAGAGTACCAACACCTTGGGTTTCAGAGAATAATGTTAAACCTCCCTTGATAAGCTGTCATGAGTAGTTCCATTGTCTAATTTCACTGTTAGTTCTAATATGAATCTCAAGTCGTGCTGGCTATTAAATTTTGCAGTCCTTATAGGATTTTCAAGACTCCACTGCCAGTGATTCTGTCATCTAAATCCACAACATGTCTATAAGTGGAAATTAGTTTGACTAGTTCATATATCAGCAGTGTCTTGGAAGTTGATTTGGTCGTCTAGTTTCCACTTGCAGATACTCATGGTACTGTCTGACCTTGCTTTCTTGTCTTCTTGCAGTGGGGTGAAAATCTAACTTTGATGTACGATAGAGTTTTGAGATATCCAGAACGTGTTAGGAACTTATACTTTACCTACCTCTTTGTTCTGCGAGCTGTCACAAAGGTGCGTACCAACGGAACAGAGCTTGCTATCGCATCATCTATATTTTGATATACAATTATTTTCTTTGAATTTAGTGTAGTCTCTGTTAGACATTATCATAATACTTAACCTCGTGTGAACTTCCAGACAGCGACTTACTTGGAACAAGCCGAGTATAACACTGGTAATCCTACGGAGGACCTGAAGGCTCATTCCTTGATCAGGCAGCTACTCTATAATCCGAAACTTCAAGCCGCTTGCCCGCTTCCATTTGATGAAGCTAAACTTTGGAAGGGTCAACGAGGACCTGAACTTAAACAGAAAACACAAGAACAGTTCAGAAACATAAGGTTGGTATTTGTCCTTTTCATACCTTACCATTTTACTTTCATCTGCTAACAGGATTTACAGTATTAACTCTATTTTGGTTTCCTATTGATTATTGCACTTTTTTTTTTTTGCTTTATCAATACCTTCATATGACATAATATGAGAATTATTCCATTGCACTTGCAGTGCATTGATGGACTGTGTAGGCTGTGAGAAATGCAGACTTTGGGGAAAGCTCCAGGTTCTTGGCCTAGGTACTGCATTGAAGATATTGTTCTCTCAAAACGGGGAAGACAAAATAGTCCAAACAGTAAGAATTCATTTCACAAATTAAAGATTTACATGTGTAATGTGTTCCATGTCATGGTCAGTAGACCGTCACTTATAGCAATAACTATTCCTGTTACCCGTTGTATTGATTGTGGGAGGCTTACATCTTCTTGTTGTTGATTGAATTCAGTTGCAGTTACAGAGGAATGAAGTAATTGCATTGATCAATCTTCTAAATCGGCTGTCAGAATCTGTTAAATTTGTCCACGAAAAGGGTGCTGCTGTTGAAAGGATCATGGAAAGGCAGAGTGGTTTGTTCCCCTTCGCAAGTATCCTCTTGCAAAAAGTTTGGCCTTTTAGTTCAAGCCTGCTAAGGTAAATAATAGTTGAGGAGTCAGTTGCTTGGTTCTGTGTTACATTTGCCTGTGGTGTTTCTAACGATACTTTACTTTTTGCTCTGTGCTTGCTCTCAGCTAGTTGAAAATCAGTGGCATGTTCCAGGTCATGGTGACAACGTACGGTTGGCTGAGGACTTGGTTTCAGTAAACCTCTTCACCGTTGGTAGATTACAGACAGAATTTTGGATATCGACACAGACTTCGTATAGAGAAAGGAAAGAAAATTGTAGAGTTGAGTCATGTATCTGTGTTATATGTACATTGACAATAGATAAGATGTAACAACAGCAGACAATTTTCTCTGGAAATTAGAAAGAGTTGCACAAGGCCTGAAGTTCCTTCTTTAATTAGGTTTCACATCCAAAATGATCTAGATACTTTGTTCCCTACTACCATTGCCATCTCGATCTCCAACAAGAGTATTTATCTCATACCGTATTGGTACAAAAACAACAATAACTAAACAACAGCACTCTTTAGATGACGCTTGCAACGCATCCCATCAGCAACAGCGCCATCAGCTCGAACTTGCGAATCATAGGTGCAGTTCAAACCACATTACTGCCATGGCGCCACTAGATCACGTCTTATTGTAATGAGAAGTTACCATTTTTGGTTGTGTACCAATTCGTCCAATTTGATAGCAGCAAGAAATTCGAAGGACTTCCATATCAATCCGCAAAGAAAGCGAACAGATTCCAGCTATGACATGCATGCTATAGCCTACCGACCCTTCTTGGAGCGTTTTGTGGGTCTCGTTGTCTCCTTCCTTGAATCTTCAGGAGGTTTTGAATCCAGAAACGGCTGCAAGGCAATCGATTTACAGCACTTATTGGCATGAACAATCATCACTACTAGCCCACAGATTTAAAGCCATCAACAAACGAAAAAGAGCAGTAACTGGACAGAGTTGGGGCAAAATTCACTAGCAGTAGGCTGAACTTCTACGCAGCAGTTCTCATATAAGCATATTCGTATGGCGAATGGCGTGTATGTTAAAGATCGATACTTTTCACTGGAAGAAGAAGGGATGTAACTGACCTCTTCCGACTTCTTCTGTAGTTCCAGCAGCTCCTGGCAATACGCGAGGCACTCAGCGTGGTAAACAGCCGCCAACTCTTTTATCAATGTCTTCCTCTTGATTATACCGATCACTGCCAGACGAAAAAGAGAAAAAACAAAACAGTTGTCAGGGTTTTGCAGTTGATTTCAATTTATAACAGTGGTTGTGCTGCCAGAAGCGAGACGGGGGAAGAAAACCCTATCAGGGAAAATTGGGAGAAACCACATAAATTAAGGGTCAAGGAGTTTACTTCGACTCGGATCGAATGAAGGAGGAGGCGTTGGCGGCGGCGGTGAAGACGGAGTGGATCCGGCCTCCGGAGGAGCGGAGACTGCATCGGCCGGAGGCGGCGTGAGATCGTCGGGCATTATTTTGGGCTGCGGCGGACTACGAGATGGGGCAAGAGAAGAGGGCTACTATCGGCTGGCGTCGGGTTCACTGAATTTCTCCTCGTCGTAGCTCTTCCAGCTATATTCTCCTCTTGGCTCTTACACACCCCAAGGTTCCTTTGTGTAATTTTGATTTTACAGATAAAATAACAGCCGAAAACGTTAATATGAAGATTTATTATAAGATACTAACTAATATCCAAAATATATGAATTAGTATTCAAGTACTAAAGTATCTTGAGAGCACAGACTAATATACAAAGTTTGCTAATTGATATCTGCCATGAATAAACTAGTATCCCAAATTCACAAACTAATATCTAGACAACACAGAATAGTATTTATACATCACATAATTAGTATCCAGATAATACATAAGAGTATCCATATTGAATACTAGTTGGTAATTGATTGGCTGAATACTAATTATGTGAGTTGGATACTAGTTTTGTGATGTTTTGAATACTAGTCTGTGCTATCTAGATACTTTCGTAAAATCAGCAGACTTGGATACTAGTTCATACATTTGGGATATTAGTTAGTATATACTAACAACTTATGCAGTTAGCAGAATAACTCTATTGGCAGACAACGGCGAGCACTAATAGGATTTTTTTGATAGAAACCTGCTCATTTTATTTAGGTAGAAAATTGGGCCATTACAGTCTTGAGCAAGAATGAAACAGAGGAAAATAGGAGGTCTGGTGGTCCATATCTCCTGGCCTCCCAGTTACAATTCGTGTGAGCCATCAGGTGGGCTGAAAAGTTGGCTTGCCGTTTAGCAAAGCCCACTGAAAGTTCTATAGCCCGACTTCTTCCGCTGTCTTCTCTATCTCTTCCACAATCGATTCCACCTCCGTTCTCTTTCGTTTACCATTTCCAAATTGTTGCACTAGACCTAGATAATCCGTCTCAATAATCACCGTGAGTAGCTGGTGTTGGATTGCCAACCTCATCCCGTTTAGTACGGCTCGAGCTTCTGCCAGTTCTGGTTCCCACTAGGAGCGTTCCCTCGTCACCGATGCCAAAAGGAACTCCCCCGTCGCATTTCTCGCCACCATCCCCAGTCCAGTCCTACCCTTTTCAACACAGCGCCGTCTACATTGATCTTGTTCCAGCCACTTGGAGGTGGCGACCAAGTAATTCTTCCTCCCCCTCTGTCTTTTGTTTCTTCTCTCTGTGTGATTGGAACTCTTCGAGTAGATCTAGGACTCGGCCAACAACCTCTCATCCTTCCAATTTGTGGTTGTTAAACAGATGATTGTTTCTTTCCCCCCATATCTTCCATAGAATCATCCCTAGTCAACTCAACACTTCGTCATCCACTCGCTCCATTATTTCGCAGAGCCAACTACCACTGGAAAGATTTTCCCTTGATTCGAAAAGGGTTCAAAATTCCGTTGGTCTCCAGATTCTAGTAGTCCACGAACATTCTGTGAATATGTGAATTTGTGTCTCTATCTGATTGCAGTATGGACATTCAATAGGTGCATCTTTTTTCCTCACCTCGATGTTTTTCGCCGTAGGGAGAATGTCATGGCAAATCTCCATAGAAAATTCTTCACCTTGAGAGGGACATTCAGAGCCCACAGGCGCTTCCAATTCATGGGATCGTATATTTCTCCCCCTGCCTCCTCATTCTCGTCCTCTATCTCTTCATTGTTCCTGGTCTTGTACCAAAATTTATACGTTGAGCGAACTGTGTACTTGCCTAACTTCTCTCTACTCCATATCCTCTTGTCCACTGATTGTTGTCTAGGGATAGGTATCCCTTCGATGCGTGCTCGATCCTCAACATTGAAATGATGTTGTGGCAACGATCTATTCCAAGTTCTAGTGTCAAAATCAATTAGGACATTCACTTGATCACCATCTCCCAAGTCTGATCTCATGGACGTCGCTCTGTAGTAATTTTCTTCAGCTCCTGGGATCCATTTGTCCTCTCACATATTAATATTCGCTCCATTTCCCAATTTTCATCTCAGACCCCGTTTCACTAGCTCTTGTGCTGCCATCATGCTCCTCCAAGTGTAACTTGGGTTGTTCCCCATAGAGGCACCTAGGATATCAGAATGTGGAAAGTACTTGTCTTTTAGAACTCGAGCTACTAGGGTCTTTGGGTTCTCCAGTAGGTTCCAGATTTGCTTCCCTAGTAAAGCCAGGTTAAAAGTGCCAAAATCTCTAAACCCCATCCCTCCTTCTTTAGGCTTGCATAGCTTCGTCCAAGCTTTCCAGGGAAGCTAATCTCAGATTTATGTAGATTCACCTTCTGTCCCAATTCAAGCTCATATATCTGCAAAATTTCTTTTATCTTCCTGCACTCCTGTTGTCTAGCTCTAGCAAACAGTATGCTATCGTCTGCAAATAGAAGGTGTGAGATAGATGGTCCCTTGCAGGATACCTTTAGGTCATGGATCGTTCCCCTGTTAACTTCTTGATTGATCTTTGCCGACAATCCCTCTACACAGAGGATGAACAAGTAAGGTGACAGTGGGTTACCTTGTCTAAGCCCTCGATCCGGCTTGAACTCCATAGTTCTATGCCCATTTACCAGGATAGAGTAGGTAACCTCTAACACAGTTCATAATCAATTGCACCCATCTATCATGGAAACCAAGCTTCAACATCATTGCTTCTAGAAAATGCCATTCCACTCGATCGTAGGCTTTCGAGATGTCGAGTTTGGCAGCCATAATCCCTGTTTTTGCTTTTTTCTTGTTTTTGATTGCATGAAAACATTCAAATGCAATCAGAACATTGTCTATGATGTTTCTCTGTGGGACAAACACACTCTGGTTTTCCCCTACCACCTTAGGCAGAATCCTCTTTAGTCTGTTCACCAAAGCTTTTGCCATAATCTTATCGAGGACTTGGCAGAGGCTAATGGGACGAAACTCCAGTGGTTTCTCCGGCTTCTTAGTCTTCGGAATTAGGGCTATTAGGGTGTAATTCAATTGTGCAGGAAACCATCCTTGTTCTAAGTAAGTTGTGAGGGTCTTTGTCACTTCTGGACCTACAACTTCCCAGTTGTGCTGGAAAAAGAGCGCTAGCATCCCATCTGGCCCTAGGGCTTTCGTTGGCCCTATTCTTTTTAGTGCTTCCAAAATCTCATCTTTAGTAAAAGGCCGCATAAGTACCTAGTTCATTTCTGGGGTAACCCTTTGATCCACAACTGATAATATCTGACGCGTGGAGGGAGGTTCTCCTGACGTGAACAGACCCTTATAGTAGTCCACTAGACAAGTTTCTACACCCTCATGGCCTGTCCAAAGTCTGCCCGAATCATCCAGAAGCCTTCTAATTGTATTGCGTATTCTTCTTTCTGAACCTTTCTTGTGAAAGAAACATGTGTTGCTATCTCCTGCTTTTAGTCAGTCAACCCTTGAGCATTTCCTCCATTTGCACTCCTCCTAATATAGAATATCATCTAATTCTCGCTCTAGGGCTTTCCTCTGTTCTAGCATAGTCTTCGTTCGTTTTCTTTGGTTTACTTTCTTGAGTAGTCTTTCTACCTTGTTTCTTCTGGTTTTTAATGAGCCGAAAACTTCTTTGCTCCACCCAAGCAGTTTAGTTGCACAGCTCTTGATTTTGTCCATGACAGTCACATTCTCAGAAGAGTTCCAACCATCCTGGACCACTTTCTTGCAATCTTTGTGATTCTCCCAGTAGTGTTCGTATCGGAAAGACCACCCCCATGTTATCTCCTCTTCCATAGTGTCTAGGACCATCTAAATCGGAATGTGATCTGCACCACATCTCTCCAAATATTCAATCTCATGTTGGGATAGATCCGTTTCCATTTATCATTTGCTACTGCTCTGTCTAGCCTTTCCTCAGTATAGTTCTCCTCATCTCGGTTGTTTTCCCATGTAAAAATCCTCCCGAAATAGCCATAGTCTTCGAGACCACAATCCTTCAAAGTTGCTCGAAACATTTCCATCTCTTTGAGGTCTAGTTCCCTACTATCAGTTTTCTCCAGATGATTTGGAGGAGATTGAAATACCCAATAACCATCCAGGGAAAATCAACTTGCTGGTGAAGTTTACGCATCAACTCACAACTCTTCTATTTGTTTTTGCTCTCAGGCCAGCCATAAAATCCTGTTAGCCTCCATTCCGCACCCTTTGAGTGCATTTTAACCTTGGCATCGATGTGATTTTTGTCAAGCACATAACCTTCACTTTGACCTCTTCCTTCCACATCAGTAGGAGTCCACCAGCCCTATTGGAGCCGGCTGATGCTCCATCCCCATCATAATAACTAAATTCTTTTATCTTTTCCTTCCACTCCTTTTCATACTGTTTTGTTTCCATAAGAAAGACAATGTCGGGATCATATTGGTGAAGTAGTCTCTTCACCTTGCCAACTACCAAGGTGTTCCCGAGTCCCCGGCAGTTGTAACTTAACACACTCATTAAGCTGGGTGGCTCTGCTCTTTTGCAGAGTCCGCCTCACCGCCATCCTTGATGTTTTCCTGAGCTTCTCGCACTTTTGGAAAGAGGTGTCCTTGTGTATCTTGGAAAGTAAGGACCTTAGCCTTTTTTCCCCCTGTGATTGAAGCTCCACTTCTTTCATAGTTTGAGCTTCTAGTTCTGCCCCTTGTCTTTTCTGTGGTGTTATTTGCAAAGGTGTCGAGGTACCAGCCCGAACTTGTTATTGTCTTCTCCACACTCGGTTTGGACCTCTTCTCTGTGGCACCTCTCCTCCAGGTCTCATAGCAAACCTCTGGACCGCTCCTCCTATTCCCAGTAGCCCTGCATTCGGGGCCTCAAGGTAGTGAGTCTTCTGTTGTTTGATTAATGATTTCACTGACTCTTTCTTCTGCTCTTCCTTCCTTTCTTCTGCCATTTTTATGTCTTGATCAATAGCCCCATGTGTTATTTCTGCTGTTTGTTTTGTTTCATGGTTTGTCTCCTTTGGTGTTTTTTTCCTTGCCTTCCTTTGTCAAACCAGGTGGAGGCTGTAGTCCCTCATCTGGAAGGGTACCTCCAGGTCTGAGTTTGACCCAACACTTTCTATGTCTAATTTTTTTCGCAGTAAAGCCCAGACTTCCTCACCCTCCTTCTTTGCTGTGTAGAACAATCAATTTCGTGTTCCAAGAGCGATAGCCCTCAATTCCATCCCGAAAGGATCAACCTCCATATTTGATGAGGTAGGGCACCACAATTTTGGTTGGCCAATTCGCTCACGGGAGTAACAAAACATTGGGAGTTTCTCGTACTTCACCCGGTATTACATCAACTTTCCTCCAATACTTAGTTTCAGCTCTTTCTTCAGTGGATTGTTGATAGATAGACAAACCTTGAGTCTCATGTAATAATCCCACATCGTGCTTGTACTGTCATCAAACCAAACTAGTGAACCAAACCTGTTCGCTATCTTCTCTACCATCTTTAGTGTTCTGCAGGGAGTTCTTTGATTTGGATCCATATATCGATCATGTGTAGAGCCTCTGGAATCAGTTTCTTGATTAGCAAGCTAGCCATGAAGACCATCACATTGTTTTCATAGTGCCACAGCCCTCCATAGAAAACCCTATCTCCGTTGTCCACATCTAGGAACTGAAACGCAAATAGCATATCTCCTAGATCTGTGATATGGAATCCTTTTTTCAGGTTCCATGCTTTTGTTAGGGCAATTTTCAATGACTTGACGTTTGGTTGTTTTTCCAGCTACCAGACGCCCTATCAAATCAAGACGGCGTACAGCCTCCATCCTGACTACATCAACATCGTCGTCTTCAACCTCCAGAGGGGAGTCATCTTCATCCGCCAACGTGATACTATCCAGCCGCTCTTCGATGTTTTCAGTAGTGTTATTGAGCTGTTGGATTACCTCTTCGGAACGAACACCTTCTTCTGTATTTTCCATGGTTGTCGTGTACAGCCAGAGAAACTTTTGCCATTCTACCAAAAAAAAAAAGAGAAACTTTTGCCAGAGTATAGCTATCGTTCAAACCACTGGACCAGTACTTTTAAAGCTTAACAATCAAACTCTCTCAAACTGCACTCTAATCCCTCTCGTAAGGAAAAAGGAAAACGAGCTGAAGTACGTCTCCGGAAAAATGCTAGGGTCTCCACCGCTACTGACTCTCGCTAAATGAAAGAACGATCGAGCACTAATGGGCTTAGGAAGGATAAAATTGGCCAATTCCTAGGAGTCAGGACTCAGGAGTACAAAATTAGTCAGATGGTCACCAAATTATGCGGAATATTACAAAATTATCACAGAACTTCAACACATAACATATTGGTCACTGATGTAGTGATGTTATTCTTCTCCCAAGTCCTAACCAAATAACCATTTGGAGTAACTACCTCCCAAGTGGATATGAATCCACGATTTTCAGGTTGAGATAGTTTAGTGACCATTTGTAGTGCTCGCCGGTTTGCACAGCAGCAGGATCTCTTGAATTTCATTTTAATTCAATCAAACCGTCCTGGCTTCATCAAGAGCAAAACAGTCTAGACAACAAATAGCCATGGCACCTCTGTAAAGTATCAAGCAAAGGCGTTGTCTGGCAAGCTTCCTGATAAGCACGATGATCAGTCGATCACCCCAGTTTTCAAGTACAATTTCAGTCGCTAGGGATGGCAATGGGGCGGGTTTGGGGCGGATTTGCCTAAACCATCCCCATACCTGCTATCAAATATCTATACCCATACCCGCCTCATACCCATGCGGGGGAAGGTTTTGCAAACCCATCCCCGTACCCGTGGGTTTCGGGTACCCATGGGTAATACCCGTCCCGTACATCCGACATTATAATACCTAAAATTTTAAAAGTACATTCTCAATTATAACATTAAACGTACTTACTATCGTGAAGTTGACAAAAAAACTATCATTCTTTATACCAGTGCTGTCAAAGCCGAACCGAGCCGGCCGGCCGGACCGCCAAAGCCGCCACCCGGCCGTAAAACCGGCTCGGATCAGCTATTTAACCGCCACAGTTTTATACAGCGGCCGGCGAGCGGCCGAAGCGGTTAACCGCTCGAGCCGCTCAAGCCGGTCGCGCGGTTCGGCCGTTTGGTTTACCCTAAATAAAAAGGCCAATCGTGGAATGGGCCAGCCAAACAAAACACTAACTTTCATTTTATTTCTTCATCTTCGACCTAGAAGTAGAACAGACGACAGAGGGAGAGCGGCGCCATCCGACGGCGGGGTAATTCATCTCCCTTCTTCTTCTTCACTCTTTCCGTTGGTTCTGAGGATTTCTATGTTAGCATTTCTCCAGTGTGGGTATTATTGGGCTGTTGGTGGCGATTGGTTTACTGGGTATTTGATTAGTGGTGGATCTAGTAGTCGTTTGTCTGATCTTGACGTGATTAGCGTAGATTTTGAGATTTGCTGATAGGGACAGCTAGTTTGCTTACGAAATGGACTACCGGTTATCAAACGGTTTTTAAACGGTCTAATGCCGGCTGGACCACTAATGACCGAGCCGTTCACGTTATCGGGTCATACTCCGGCTCGGCTTTGACAGCATTGCTTTATACGATTCAAAGCATCTTATCCTAAACAATCCATTAATCCATAAGATAGAGTACAATATAATGTAATACAAATCATTCTTCTTTGACTCTGATACATCTACTAACTAATATCAAACTAACATAATCTAGTAAACACGAGGGGAAAAGTGAAAGAGTGAAGGGAGAGTTGACGAAAAGGAATTATGTTTTGATTTGGGTGGTCACTCAATTGCATTTCTAATATTTATTTTCTTGGGGTACCCTTACTATCATTCATATATCACAATTTTATTCATATATTTGTTATATGTGAAGAAATGTTCTTAGTGGGGCGGGTATGGGTATGGGGCGGGGAGCCTAAAACCATACCCGCCCCATACCCAATCAATGCGGGGATTCCCCGCGTTAACTGGATCGGAGGCGATCGGATATCCGCGGCCATGGGTTTGATTGCCATCCCTATCAGTCGCAGAGGCTGAGACTTGATGCTGCAACACAGCTAGTTGCAGCAGAAATGCCATCTCTCATTGTTACCAACAAGTAACCCTTCTGAGAGATCTGGGCATCCTTCCCAACTCCCAAGAAGCCAACATGGGTGCCCAAAGACAGGACCAGTGTGGAGTTGAACCATCCGAGACCAACCAAGATATGGGTTTCCAGTAGCTTTAAGAGATGGGATCTCCCTGGAAACTGCTGCAGCAGTCACTCTCATTAGTGCTGATACTTGTGAAGTACATGCCTTCCTGCTAAATTCATTGGTCAGAGTCGCGTTCAACGATCTGTCCAGCTTTTGCAAATTGTCTGAACTTGGGTTTGTGGGGCGGGGTACACGAAAGGAAGAAGCAAGCTTCCAGTGTTCTCCATAATGTGAATCAGGCAGGTTCGAAATTGGTCAGTGCTCAAGGCTATCTGTGCTTGAAAGGCTGCATCCAATCCAAACGAATGCGCAAAACCCACGAGTTGGTAGAATGGAATCAAGCAGTTGTCTCTGGTTCCAGCTCAAAAGATCGCTTCTTGAAATTTTTGTTGATCATATTTCCATCCCTTCTTCCACTGGAAGATGCACAAATCACTCTGCACAACTAACACCAATAGGAGTGAAGAACTATTCCTAATTTGCTTCTAGATGAAATCGTCCACCAGATAATAGAGCCTTGTAAGAGATGTTTAACTTCCGCAGAGAAGCTGAACACTGTAATGAAGAACGTTTGAGATTAGGGAGGTCAAATGATACGAATGCGGAGGAGAAAGAGAAATAGGAAACTCATTGAAGGCTGACCTCAGGCCTGGAAAGTCCATGCCAAAGAAAGTCACCAGAAAAGATCAGAATCCACAGCTAGGCCTTTTGCTTCCCTCCCAAACTCGTCTCTGGCAGCTTTGATTTCTAGCTCCAGAGAGCTCAGTGTCCCATATATGGAATCAGCCTTTGGGTGAGACCGGTCAGCAACCCGAAACTCATGGGACTGACCATTGATCTCAACCCAGCTACATCCAGGAGTTTTCTTTAGCCCTTTATCCCTAAGGAAACTCCTCATCTTAGCAACTCCATCCCACTCCCCTGCAGCGGCATATATGTTGGAGAGCAGTATGTAGTTGCCAGCATTTCTTGGCTCTGCAATTATGAGATTCTCAGCTGCAAACTCTGCCAGTTCAGTAGTATTGGGGTGCAACTTACAGGCACTTAACAGCGGACCCCAAATCCGTGCATCCGGTTTGAACGCCATGCTCTCCACAAGCTCCTTAGCTTCATTCACAAGGCCTGCACGCCCTAACAAATCCACCATGCAAGCATAATGCTCTTGGCTGGGACTTTGCTTGTAGGTTTCAGTCATCTCCTTGAACAATGCCCGTCCTTCCTCAACCAGACCTGAATTCACACAAGCTGTTAGTAGACTCAGAAACGTGAACTCATCTGGTTTTAAATTTGAATGCTTCATTTGCTTGTACAACTCAAAACACTGAGACCAGTCTCCGTGCTTGGCATGTGAGCTAATCATTGAATTCCAAATGATTATGTCTCTATCGAACTTTTCCTCGATGAAGAAGATCTTCCTAGCCATATCCATGGATCCACATTTTGCATAGCTGGTGAGTAGAGCCGTGTTTAGAGCTGATAAAAGGTTTAGACCAAGTTTAACTGAGTAGCCATGAAGGGATTTCACTTGCTCTAGTGCTCCAGTGTTCACACAGGCAGGCAAGATGTTAATGATGGCTATAAAATCAACTTGCGGTCCTACCGAGTTCATTTTAGAGAAGAGAGATAAAGCTGCCAAAGAGTGATCATGTTTCACATAACCCTTCATCAGGGTGCTCCAAGAGACCACTGTTTTATCTATAATTGAGTCGAATACCTTCCTTGCGTAGTCCAAACAAGCACATTCGCAATACATATCAACGAGCGCATTATGAACAGATACCTGGTAACCTAGTTCGTTTCTTGTCACGTAAGTATGCAGTTCTTTGCACCAGCCCAAGGATTTCAACTGCCCAATCGAGGAAGCAGCAGGCAAGGCCGTGAACAAATCAGCTTTGGTCCCAGATTTCAACATCTCTCTCAACAACTGCACAGATTTCTCGGGGTGCCCGTTGTGAGAATATGCAGATATCATTATGTTCCACACAACACAGTCCTTGTCAGGCATTTTGACAAACAGCTTCCCAGCACTGTGCAAATCCCGCAGCTTCACATACATTGATAACAAAGCGGTACTTACAGACAAGTTTCTGCATAATCCGGAAGTGTAAGCCCAAGAATGGACAATTCTTCCCTCCTTTAACAAGCGCGAATCAACAACGAACCTCAACAAATTAGTCGCCTTCCTAACAAAATCAGTTTCTAGTCTTCCCGTTCCCATTTGAGAACTTCCAATAATATTTCCATCCGACAGATTGACATTCTTAAATGGCATAAGCTGATCGACGACATTCCTTACATTGCGAAATTCACCAAATCGATTGCACATCTCTGTCACAGCAGCCTCCACCGCTGACGACGACTCCAAGCCCAATTTTATGACTAGCCCTTAAATCCGTTTTCCCGTTAGCAATCTCTGAGCCCGAAGGGCACGAACCCAGAATTAACGGGTATGTTTCTACGTCGGGAAAAAACAGAGTCCAGCACCATTGTTCTATAAACAAAGAGAGAACGCTCCTAGACTGGCCATGCTTTGTTAAACTCCTCAACAGGATGTCGCAAAGCACCTTACTTTTCTTAGAGGAAGAGTAGAAAATCTGGATGGAGAAGTAGAGGAGGCCGAGATTAGCTTGAGTCGATGAGTTCCGAAGCGACGACGGGATTTTGGTGGAGGCCACGGGGGATGAAATTTGCGTGAATCTGCTAGAGGTGCACTGAACTGTTGCACAGGCTCACAAGTGACGAGGGAAGACGGAGTAGAGAACGCCGTCAGTTGGATGAGGCGACTGCCCATTTAACTGGGACGACGGAAGAGACCCTCCAATGTGAGAAGAAATGCTTTCAACAAGAGGGAAACCCTATTTGTGGTAGCGGATTGGAAGAAACCCCAATTCTACAAACCTAGATTTTACTTTTTAGTAGTTCATAATTATAAATTTAATAATAAAATTAGTAAATTTGATTTTTCTCATGTGGCGGACAAGTGGAACATATGTGACATGATCGTTACCCATGTTAACATATTTAACGAAAAAGTTAACGAATACTTATAATTGTCTAACACATTATAAGAATTGACGGTTTTATTAAATTTCAAATAGTTATAATTTAGGGTGTGCCTACTGTGACATGCATGTCACGGTGACTTGCACTTTCCGGTCGACCTCAGTTAGGATTAGGTCGACCTCATATAGAATTCGGTCGACCTCATATAGGATCCGGTCGACCTCATTTAGGATTCGGTCGACCTCATATAGGATCCGGTCGACCTAATATGTTGTTTCAGTGTAAAAACAGTTCATGGTGCCTACTTTGGATATTCATATCATACAATTGGCTAGATGGAAATTGAAGACTAATGACTTGTTTTGAAGCTAGAGTGTCCCTCTACATATTGAAGTGATTGAGAGCTCGATAGGAAGTCCAGAAGACCATTTTTGAACCTCATCAAAAGGCTATGCCAAAACTGGGAAACTGCCTAGAAATGGCTAAGTCTGGAAACGTGTTTGTGAAGCCTATTTTTGAGCTCAATTCGAGAAGCATGAATGCGAGTCGAGTCCAGGAGCCTCTACCACGTTAAATTAGGTATGTTTTTATACAAATTCAAGGAATTGGATGAAAGATTGGATATCTTTAAGGCTTCAAACAAAAGGGTCGAAGTTGCTACGAAGGCTGTTTTTCTGGCAGACTTCGAGCACAAGCAAGCGGTAGGGGTGGGCATTCGGTCGGTTCGGTTTCGACCGAACCTAAATTATGAATACCGGGTCCCCGAATTCTCCCAAACCTCAAACCGAATTCGAACCGAATTATAATTCGGTTCGGTCGTTTTAAACCGAATTATAATTCGGTTCGGTTTTTCACACAAAACCGAATTTGTAAGGCTACTTGTATTTTCTCACTTTTAAATTATTTTTTACCCCTAATATAAACAATAAATATGTAATTATATGCATCATCAATGAAAAATCAAACTTTTCAACACATAAGTCATAAAATATTTCAAATATTTAAGTCTAGAAACAACTACAAACATAAAAATCCACCATTTGAAGCTTAATATTATAGTATTTCGGTTTTTCGGTCGGAAATTCGGAAATTCGGTTCGGTTGAAAGAACCTTGGTTTCCGAAATATCCATATTTCCCTTCCGAATTCCAAACCGAATAGCATTATTTGGGGTTTCGATTCGGGTTAATTCGGTTTCGGTTCAGTTCGGGTTTACCGAACCGGTTGCCCACCCCTAGACTGCGGCAGCTAGCTAGGACGGAATAGAGGAAAGTACTCATATATCCAAGCCTGAAGCAAGGTCAAACAACCACAAACACCCTGACTACCCGCTCGTGTGGCCACTCCCAACTGTCTGTAGAGATAGGCTAGTGCACCAGTTCCCAAGCGTAATCAGTCAATCGTCGATGATCCTTCAGAAACAAGTTGATCGCAGGACGAAGGCGATCACGACTCTTATCCACAAAAAGCGTGGATCCCAGTAACAAAAATAGGTAACACTGCACCTCCATCTCCTTACTCTTCAGCTCTCCCCCACGCACCAACAATCCCTCCGCATGCATAGCACCATTATCGTACCACTTAGACTTCCACTTACCACCAACATGAGAATCCACCGAAAGTCGAACTAAACCACCCATGTCTGACTTAAGAATATCCGGCGATGCCTCATCTCCCATCAGCTCTCCATCAACCGGAATACGAAGAATGGGATGCATATCGTGTAGAAGGATCGAAATCTCTCCAAACGGCATGTGGAAGGTGTTTGTGTCCGACTGCCACCTCTCCACAAATGCCGACAGTAGAGCCATGTCTAAATGCTGCATCATGCACCCTGGCAAGTGAGACAATCTTGTGGCTTCAACCATCTCCTTGGAACCCTCTGCACTCCACTTATATCGCCTCAAAGACTCTATAGCTTTCGGCCTATGGAAGCCGTCCAACACTCCACGGTCCTGCTCAGGGGAAGTCCACAGTACAAAGCCAATGTGACCTCCAAAGCTAGGGATCACATCGGGAATCACTGGTCCACCTGAACACATCTGAGACTCTGATGTAATAAACCACGACATATCTTTCCTCGTGGTCTTCCTCTTCCTATTTCCGTCTCCGCCTTCCTCGCTACTAGGTCTGGACGCACAACGTCCATCGGGCCCACGGAAGTGTGAGGAGGCAGTAGAAGATATCCCGACCCGCGCCGTCTTCCCCACGCCTAAATCAGCTTGAGGCGGGGCATCCCCAACCTCAGCATCACCAGCATCACCGTCATCATCGTCATCCTCGTCAATGGAATCATCATCGTCATCGTCATCGTCATCACCGTCATCATCGAATAATAAAAACACAGAATATTTAAAAAAATAGAATATTAAAAAAAAGCGGTCAAACCGCGGTCAACGTGTGTTTGAACCAACGGCTGATCGCGGTTGACCGCGGTCAGCCGTTGGTCAAACCGCAGTTTGACTGCGGTCGTACCTTCATCTCCGGCGACGCGAGGGCTGCGAGGTGAGCGCGGGAGGACGATGAGGCTCGCGCGGGCGGCGACGCGAGGGAGGACGGCGTCGCAAGCGAGCGGCGACGCGATTGCTGGCGGCGACGTGAGCGACGGAGCGAGCGGCGCCGGTTGGCGACTGCGGGCGGCGACTTCAAGGGCGACGGCGGCGAGTTGCAGAGGTGGCCGACGACGGCGGTGAAGGGAGGGACAGAAGTCGCGGGTGAGAGGGAGTTGCAGAGGGGAAGGGGAATGATTTTGAGTTAGGGCTTGTTTGTTCACTTCAATTTTGAGTTTTTCCTTAAGGGTATATAGGTAATTTTACATTTAAGTTAGGGCGACCTTTAGCAATTTCAAGGGCGACATTTAGCAAGCCAATTCAAATTCACCTCGCAAAGCTTAAATCTCCTCTAGTATATATTGCGCCACCTTGCACATAAGAAGATTGGCCGCCCTTGAACTTATTGAACACCACCATTGTATCACCCGCAAAAGTAACCGACAACTTCAGACCGGGAGCGGATCAGGTCAGTAACTCTTATTGTGAGTAACCATCAGTAACCTGTCCACATCTGCATGACATCAGCATCCCCTATCTCCTGAAAAGTCTTTTATCTTTTCCCCTTTAATCTTTTAAGAATGATTTCTCTCTCATTTTAAGTCGAAATTTAATTTTTTTTGCATATATGAATCATATTAAATGTGTTCTTTAAAATGATATCCACTTTGATATATTTTTAGTACAAAAAAATTGAAATTTTTTTTACCAGTCATTACCATATGGTATTACACTTCATGTAATACCATATGGTAAGAAAGCGTACCATGATGGTATGAACATACCAATATGGTAAGAAGGTTGAATACATGATAGTAGTAGTATACTAACTGTCATTTACGAATTTCATCATTGTTTACCACCCACATACCATAGTGGTAAAGTATGGTAATTTTTGGTCCAGTATTTTTTTCACCCAGAAATCTGTATATCCAATAGATCATGATGAACTCGTTCCTTCTGAGCAAAAGTTTTCAAAAAAGGACTTAAAAACGAAGAAATTACCATATGGTATGTAGTTGGTAAAAAAAAGTTTCTCGAAATATATTGAAATTTGATCTCATTTTGTAGAGCACAACGAACTCGTTCCATGTGTGCAAAAAAAAATTTAAATCCGAGTTAAAACGAAGAAGATAAGAGCCGATTATGAAAACTAGGGAAAATAAAATCCCTTTAATTGACAACCCTTAGATCTGAATTTTCTGGGTCTACTTAGATCTAATGTCCAGATTTAGTTACTCATAGTGCAGTAACCATTGGTTACTGACCCTATCCTAAGCCCTTCAGACCACCATACAAAGTCGGCAGCCACTATCATAAACCAGTTGGTCTCAATAATTCGAGTTGTTGGGAGAATGTTATGCTGGATCTTATAACACTCTCTAACTGCCACCATTGCCATCACCACCATACTCTTCTCATCCTGCAAAACCCAGATCCTACTCCATGAGAGCCCCTAGCCGTAGCCACATCCACACATAGAATGAGCTCTCCTGGAGAGCGAGATGGACCGACCTCCTGGTCCCACGAGCTTGGGGTTGTCTATAGGGGTGGGCAACCAGTTCGGTATACCCAAAATCGAAACCAAATTAAACCGAACCAAAACCGAAGTAATGCTATTCAGTTCGGAATTCGGAAGAAAAATATGGATAGTTCGGAAATCAGGGTTCTTTCAATCGAACCGAATTTCCGACCGAAAAACCGAAATACTATTATTGCAAGCTCCAAATGGTGGATTTTTATGTTTGTAGTTGTTTTTAGACTTAAATATTTGAAATGTTTTATCACTTATGTGTTGAAAAATATGATTTTATCATTGATGATGCATATAATTGCATATTTATTGTTTATATTAGGCTGAAAAATAATTTAAAAGTGAGAAGATACAAGTAACTTCACAAATTCGATTTTGTGTGAAAAACCTAACTGAAACGAATTATAATTCGGTTTAAACCGAACGAACCTAATTATAATTCGGTTCGGATTCGGTTTGAGGTTTGGGAGAATTCGGGGACCCGGTATTCATAATTTCGGTTCGGTCAAAACTGAACCGACCGAATGTCCACCCCTACTTGTCTACCCAAGTACTTGAGGTTTTTTTTATAAAACAAAATGGTTCATAAAAAATTTGAATCATTCATTAAGACCAAATTCTTCTCTTGCAAAACAAAATTTTATGTAAGGATCAATATAAGTATGAAATCTCAATTTAGAATTATGTACTATTATTATTATTATTTTTTGGTAGTATTTTTTTCCCACTATTATCATTAATTGAAATTGTGAACTTAGAAAAAGTAAAACTTAGGGCATGGTTGAAATTATTTAGAAAAAAATTATTTCTATATGCTAGTTGTCGGTTGGCACTTGGCAGCCGGCCGGCCAGGCGCGCCAAAATAGCCAGTGGAAAGCGATCCCCTTCCGCGCGTATCCATTTTCAATTCGCTCCTTCGCTGCAGCTGCATCATCAATTTCAACTGCCCTCCCCAGGAGAAGAATAAAAACATACGAAAGGGACAAGAAAAATACAATAAAGGGAGGAGAAAGCCGGAGAGGGACGCAAGCAATCATACACCGGAAGGGGAGAAGTGGTGATTCGAATTTCCGCCATTGAAGCAATCCCTGCTCTGCTCACCCATCCTCGTAAGTTTCCCAAAAACAAAACCCTAGAAAAGCCACTCCATTTCCATTCCCTGCAATTCCGTCTCTCCCTTGTCTATCCTGGGGGTTTTTTTTTTGTTTTACTCAAATTAACGCCACTCACATCACGTCTTCATCTCCTTCCTAGTATTTACCGCCTCGGCCTGCAAATGATTATTGGAGCATAGGGCTCCGCCAACAAGAAGATTCGAGGTGCAAAAGGGGTAAAAAAAAGACCCAAACCATGAAGTCGTTGCTGCCCAAGGTTTAAGGCATCGTAGGCTTTGGTGTTGAAATTGGGGGAAGAGAAACGGAAAGGAAAGAGAGAAATGGAAGTTGATGGAGTGTATGCTTCAGTTGATCCCACTGTCGTCCGATCAATTCCGATACAGTCACGCCGGCAGAGAGGTAATTGTTATCTCCGACGATTGATTTATGTATTTCAGATTCTTTGCTGATAATGTGAATTTCTTTCTGGTTTATGCGCAGCTTTCTCTATTTTTCACTTAGTTTGGAAATCTTTAGGTGGTTCTAGCAAAGGGTATGCTTCAACTTGCTATGTTTAGACTGTGATTATGCAATTAAGAGAGATACCCATATGCAAATATCTGGATTTTGCTGCTGGAGGGAGTTCAATTGTTTCTCTTCCCACCAAAGAAGTTTGTTTGGTGGTTATATTATGGTTAAGATTTTGGCTCAAGATTGTATGCATAGAAAGGCAGGATATCCGAGTTGTTAATTTCTTGAGGATGAGTAAATCACGAGTCCTGTGCCTGGTAATAGGTTAAAGTTCGAACTTTTGTCAACAGTCGTTCATTTGTCAGCTTATTTCTAGTTAGTAATCGGCCTCCTAGCAGACCTAGTTGCTGGATGGACGTGTTTTTCTGGATAATTGATCTTCTTATCCTTGCACCATAATTCACAGAAGTAGTTGATTATGTTTCTAATTGATAGTAACATGTACTTTTCAGCTTTACATCAATTCACACAGCAGACTCTCCCAGCTTGTAAGCCTGTACTGACACCAGCATCGGTAAGTGAGTGTGCATTGATTTGCTATATCAGTTACTGTTATCTGAGGATTGTTTATTAGGCTTGTTGTTCAATGTTGTGTCTCTTTGGTTGTGCAGGTGATTACAACATTTTTCTTGTTGGGCCTTATTTTTGTGCCTGTTGGATTTATCACTCTTCGTGCTTCTCGTAGTGTAAGTTGCTTCTGCTTGCCATGAACAGCTACTATTTGCTTCTTGTGTCCATTCACTTAAGATCTTATAATCATCTCTTAGTAAGCCTGGACTGTTTTACCTATGCAGGTCGTTGAGATTGTGGAACGGTATGATGCAGATTGTGTGCCCGAGGAATTTAGAGGCAACAAGATGTCTTATATTGCAGACAGTTCTATTCCAAAAAATTGTTCCAGGACGTTGAAGGTTCGCCTCTACTTTGATATTTAATTCATGAATCTATAGAAACTCCTTACAGCCGATTATGACCCATTGCGTTTATGGAGATTCTGACATTTACTGGTCATGCCATTGTTCAAATATGGAGGGAAATCTTCTGTACTTGTTCTATCCACTTGTATCTATACCACTAAATGTTTCATGTGAAGCTTCCTTTGTTAGTGTAGGATTGTTCAATGTGGTTGCTTTGTTTATGCCTTAAGAATAACATAGCAGCTGATAGCAGGAAAAAAAAAAACATTTTGTGCCTTTTAGTAGTTCAGTTCAATTAATTATGGCCACTTCTTTGATTGGTGGGAGGTTCTGACTTTCTGTTGTGATATGACTTCAATGCAGGTGCCCAAGAATATGAAAGCCCCAATTTATGTTTATTATCAACTTGACAACTACTACCAGAACCACCGAAGGTTAGATTGTTTGCATCTGGGTATCGTGGTTGTGATAAGTGACCCTGCTAATTCACTTCCCTTAGTCATTTTTCAAAATTGTAGTTGGTTGGAACCTTTTTCATCATAGCATTTGTCTTTTGTCCACACTATTTGATTTGGTGAAAGATTTCCAGGTATGTCAAAAGTAGAAGTGATACGCAGCTCTTACGAGGACTACAAACCAACGACACGAGTCTTTGCAGACCTGAAGAGTTTGCAAATGGTCATCCCATTGTCCCTTGTGGATTAGTAGCATGGAGTTTATTCAATGACACATTCACATTTTCGCGAGGGGCATCGGAATTGAGAGTCGATCGAAAGAACATAGCATGGAGGAGTGACCGTGATCACAAGTTTGGGAAGGATGTATATCCATACAATTTCCAAAATGGGAGTATCATCGGCGGTGGAAAGCTAGATCCAACTATCCCTGTTAGTATCCCATAGCATTTATCATAAAACATCATTTTCCGCAGAGTTTATTCTCACACTGAAGCGAGCTGCTGTTTGTTGACTTTGTACAGCTAAGCGACCAAGAGGATTTTATTGTATGGATGCGCACAGCGGCCCTTCCAAGCTTCAGAAAGTTATATGGGCGAATCGAAGTGGATTTAGACATGGACGAGGAGATAACAGTGGACCTAATGAACAACTACAATACATATAGCTTTGGTGGGAAGAAGAAGATTGTGCTTTCGACCACGAGCTGGATCGGTGGAAGGAATGACTTCATTGGGTTTGCATTCATGTTTGTTGGCTCATCGTCAATACTCCTGTCACTGGTCTTCATGCTGCTTCACGTCAAGAACCCCAGGTAAGAATCAAAATATATGACCCTTTTACTGCCATCCATTCATAATTTTCTTGCTAGTTCCTGGACTAACGAATGTGGCCAATTCCAGGACTTATGGAGACGCTGCTTACTTGGCCTGGAACAAAAAGGGCATTTCTGGTTGATTCTTGTGTTACCACATTCTCTTAGTGCAAACGGCCGAAATGACCATGGAAATCTGGCGGCGTTGTCTGGTTCAACAACTGAGAAATGAGTTGCAGAGTCAGCTGCGATGGCATTTTAGGGATATCTGGGAAAGGGTACATCTTCATCTGCTAAATGGAACAGAGAGAAGCATCCATTGATTAGATTTGGCGGCACTTTTTGTACCATACCATTTGTTCTTATGCTGCCCAACAACCGGCCGAGCATTATTGCTTCTGTTGTATTTTGTTTTTACGTCTTTGCCACCTCACTTTTAACAGGGGGCTTTTGATGGTGGCGGCTGGGACCGAAGAACGTGCTTTGGTCCCTTCCTTCGGTTGCTTTATAAACCTTTTGCCTTCTGTTGGTGTGGATTCGTTTCCTAGTATTGTTAACAGTTGGACGTGTACAAGATTCCATATGACTAATTGTGCATTGGTCAAATAGGAAGAACAACAGATGAAGAAACGTGTATCCTGGTGCTGTGCTTTTTACTGTACACCCGTCAAGTGTAGTGAAGTAAAGAGATGACATCGTTACATCTTTTGAAAGTATTGCGGCCTGTTCCAAGTGTATTTTTATCGTATGGAAAGCATGAGTTGGTGGTAAGAGAACTGATGAAATGAAAATTGGATCACATAGAATTATGTTGCGTTTTTGGGGGCTCAAAGGCAGAACAAAATTATAACTGAAACCCAGGCACAAATAACTAGACTTTAACATGTAAGATAATGTGAAAATGAAAGAGTTGTTGGTTCGAGATCCCTAATAGTTTTAGCAACAAAATTTATTAGCGTTCGCATGAATTATGATAGAATCACTCTCACTCGGTAGTGTCAAACACAAACGCTAAAGGTTCGACGAAATAAAAAGTATAGAACAAAGAGAATTAGAAATGACAAAGTGTAGAGAACCTTTTCGTCTCTTTATAATTATAAGTGTGTATTACTCGACGCTCCATGAAGATCATTCATGTGCACCAACACACTCCCAAAATGTGCTCAATGGCACCATTTTCAACGCTTAAGCCGAGACAGAATCGAACTACTATCAATGCCCTTCTGAAAGGATCGAAAAAAGAAATCACGAACTGTGATGCCGTGATATTTCGGAGGATCATCTTCCGATAACAACTCTTTTATGGGTTCATATATTCTTGAAGTCGATAGTCCCTCATTACCAAAGAATGCAGCAACTGATACTCTTGGTCCAACACTTCTGACTAGTGCCCTGTGTTCCACGCTTTTAAATTTATCGTTGGAGATTAGCTGCAAAGTTTATCACTTCAATAGATACATCACATAACCCATTATCAAAATATTATAAGTCTGTAACTCTGTGCTTTGCAAGTTGTTATCAAACCTATAACCTTAACCTATAACTTGTTACACTTGCATAAGAGACATATAACTAAACGGGAAATACATGCACTAGTTTGTAACTTTGTATAAACGATATGGACAAAATCAGAAAAACTGACCTGAAACATATCGCCGACATTGACAACCAGAGCCCCCGGCGTCGGAGGGAAATCGACCCAACGATCCCGACGAAAAACCTGAAGACCCCCGACGTGATCCTGCAAAAGAACCGTGACGAAACCGAGATCCGAATGGCGGGCAATCCCCAAGGTGAGGTCCGGCTGGGGACAGGCCGGATAGTAATGGCTCGCGATCCCCAATCCCTCCGAGCAGCCCATCTCCTTCAAGTGGGCCGGATCCAGGCCCAGAGCCTCCGAGAACAGCCCGAAAAGCAAGTCCCCCAATTTCAGCATCTCGGCCGAGTAATCCATCACGATTCCCCTGCAGCAGGCCGGCAGCTGCTCTGGCGCCGGGGGATCCGGCAATGCCGCCTCTGCCGGATCCAACAACCGAGCCTCGCCGCCGGGCAAGGGAAGAACGAATCCAAGCGACACCAGAAAGCGCACAGAAAAGGAGGAGAAAAATTTGGAAAGAAAGGCCAGTGCTTCGAGAATGAAGTTACAAATCCAGAAGAATTCGCTCATTGTCCCGTTTGAAATTCCATCTACGGAGCTGCAAAAGAATCCGACGATCCATTCTTCCCCATCTTTCTATTGACTTCCGGAGAGGACATTCGCCATGACCATGATGGTACTCGACGTTGATCCAAAGGCCGACTCCGGTTTCCCGTGCTGGAATCCAGTCCGCCGTCGCTTCGCGCCGGAGTCTCCTTTCTTCGAATCTGGCAACATTGAGCGCGAGCTTCTCGCCAAACAGATTGCGCTGGATTTAGGTGAGTAAGAGAAGCATCAACTATGGCGTCTGCTGGATGAAGACAGCAGCTCTGGTCGCCTGGTCGGCGTCTGGCTACGGCGGTCCTTTGATTACGGTGGCGTCGGTTACCAGATTTCTAGTTTCCACAATTACGTTACAGGTAAGTAACGGAAACATTTTTAATTTTTTTTTTTTTTGATGGTAAATCCTGGAAATTTATTAAGTAGCTAAAGCCTCTTTTACAACCAAGTCCATAATCATAATTGGAGGACGGTCGGCCCATATCTCTTGGGTCTCCCAATCACATCTTACATGGGCCAAAGTATGGGCTGCCTGGTTTCCTTCTCTTCGCCCGAACCGCCACTCAACCAAACCGAGTCGATTCGCCTTATCCTGAAGTTCCCTCACCCGCACACCTGTCTCCAGTATCGATTCCTCCTCCTTCTGAAGCTTGAGAATGGCATTTTGGCAGTCCGACTCCACCACCACAGCGGCGAATCCCGCCGTCTCCACCATTTCCAGACCAAATTCAATAGCTCGAAGCTCAGCCAGCTCCGGCGACCATGCAATTCGTTCTCTTCGGACTGCCGCCCTGACAAAATCGCCCGACGAATCACGCGCAATCGCTCCTAGTCCCGTTCCTCCTTCCTTGAAGACTGCTGCATCAACATTTATCTTGATCCAGCCTGGTGGCGGCCTTTCCCAGGTGAGTTTCTTCTCTTCTCTCTCAATGGTTTCCTGTCTATGATGATCAGTATACTCTTCCCAGAAATTCACCGCTTTTTGAACGATCTCCCATTCCTCCGCCTTCTTGTTGTTATACATTTGGTTGTTTCTCTCATTCCACATCGTCCAGAGCAGCATTCCCAATTGAGCCAGTATATCGTCATCTGCCTTTTCCATTACTTCACAAATCCAACTCCCAATCGATAGTTCAGGCTCCATCTCAAAGAGAGGCCGAAACATAGAAGGCCTCCAGACCCTTATTGCCCATTGGCATTCCCTGAAAACATGGTTCTGCGTTTCTTCTTGGTGACAAAAGGGGCACTCCGTAGCAGCCTCCTTTATTCGCCCTTCAATGTTTTTTCCAGTAGGTAAAATGTTATGTGCTGCTTTCCAGAGAAAAACCTTTACTTTGGGGGGAACCTTGAGGTTCCACATCCTTTTCCAGTTCATAGGATCATATATCTCGACTTCTACCGCTTCTCCTTCCAAATTCCCCTCTGTATCATCATTCTCATGGGTAATTCCAAGTCCTTTTGTAGCTATCCTGTAGGCTGACTTCACAGTATATAAACCACTCTTTTCCTCGCTCCAGACTTGTTTATCTGCGGCTGGTTGTACTGGAATTGGGATCCCAGCAATCCTCCTTCTATCCTCAGGGTTGAAAAAGTTTTGGAGTAGGTTGCTTCTCCAAACTCTGTTCTCATGGTCAATTAAGTCAGCCACTGTAGCTATCTCCCCTGTTGGTAGTGAAGGTGTTGTGACCCTAAAGTCTGAGTCCTCTCCACCTGCTATCCATCTTTCTCCCCAGATATTCACCTCTGATCCGTCCCCTATCCTCCATCTCAGCCCCTTTTTTACCAGTTGCTGCGCTGCCATAATGCTTCTCCACGTGTAGCTCGGGTTGTATCCCACTCTAGCCTGTAAAATGTTGGAATTGGGGTAGTACTTGGCCTTTAGCAATTTAGCTACCAGGGTTTCTGGCTTGACATAAAGATTCCAGACCTGTTTCCCTAGTAGAGCAAGGTTAAACGCTTTAAGGTCTCGAAAACCCATTCCACCTTCCTCCTTCGGTTTACACAATTTCCTCCACGCTTTCCATGGGATGCGCCTCTCTTCCTTTTGCTGTCCCCACCAGAAGCTTGAGATGGCCTTTCTTATCTCATCCAAAACTCCATTAGGCACCTGGAACACTGACATGGTGTAAGTAGCCTGAGATTGCGCTACTGCTTTTATCAAAACTGCCCTCGCAGCTGCAGAGAGAGTTTTCCCCTTCCAATGCTCAATCCTCTTTCTTACTTTGTCTATTAAGACATCGAAAACTGCTCTTTTTTCTCTACCTATCACTGTGGGCAGGCCTAGGTATTTGCTGTGATTCTCCACTTGTTTCATTCCTAGGCAGTTGGCCAATAGCAAACGGTGATCAGTTTTAACACTAGGACTGAAACTGATTTCCGATTTTTGAATGTTTACCATCTGGCCAGAGTCCTCTTCATACTGCTTTAGAATCTCTTTCAGCTGCTGGCATTCTTGAGTGGTTGCTCTCAGGAAAAAAATGCTGTCATCAGCAAAAAGTAAATGAGAGATAGAGGGTCCTCTCACCGAAACTTTTAGGCCATGTAGTTTTCCTTCATTTACTGCTTTATCTGTGAGAACTGATAGCCCTTCAGCACACATCAGAAAGAGGTAGGGAGATATGGGATCTCCCTGCCTCAAGCCTCTTCCAGGGGTAAAGGTTTCAGACTGGTGACCATTGACTAGCACCGAATAAGAGACAGTAGTGATGCACCTCATAATAAGCTTAATCCATCGATCCTCAAAACCCAATTTCTTCATCATCTCCTGTAAAAAAGACCACTCCACCCTGTCATAGGCTTTAGATATATCCAGTTTTACTGCCATTAGTCCCTTCTTTGCCTTCTTTTTCTGTTTCATTGCATGGAAACATTCAAAGGCAATCAGAATGTTATCCGTTATAAGTCTTCCAGGCACAAAAGCACTTTGTGCTTCTCCAATAATCTTGTCCAGCACTCTTTTTAGCCTGTTTGCAAGGACTTTTGACATAATCTTGTATAGGACCTTACACAGGCTAATAGGTCTGAATTCTGCAGGAGTCATGGGGCTTTTTGTCTTTGGGATCAAAGCTATTACAGTGTGATTTAGTTCAGATGGGAATTCCCCACTCTCTAAATAACTTTTTAGCTCCTCCTTCACTGCTGGCCCCACCACAGCCCAATTTTTCTGGAAAAACCTTGCCGGCAAACCATCTGATCCCGGAGCCTTGTTCGGTCCCATATGCTTCACTGCATACCATATTTCTTCATCAGTAAATGGCAAGAGGAGCTCCTGGTTCATCTCTGGAGTCACTCTTGCTGTTACTGCATCTAAAACTCGGCTGCCACTTGGTCTTGCCCCCGCTGTAAAGAGGTTTTTGAGGGAATTTACCAAACAGCCAGTTACCTCCTGTTGCCCCGCAAACACTTGGCCATTTTCATCCTTAAGTCTCCTGATTGTATTCCTTCGTCTCCTCTCGGATGCTCTCCTGTGAAAATAACCAGTATTTTGGTCCCCTTCTTTGAGCCAACCTTCTCTAGACCTTTGCTTCCACTTGATTTCCTCCTGTAGGATAATCTCGTTTAGTTCCTTTTCTATAACTCTTCTCTGCAGTAGTACAGCCTTCGATCGCTTTCTTTTTTCCAATATTCTCAATGCTTTCTCTGCTTGTTTTCTTCTTTTTTTCAGGGTTCCAAACGCCTCCGAGCTCCACGTCTGAAGTTTGTCTCGGCAGCTTTGCACCCTATCCATAACGCCTACAGGGCCCTGCGCATTCCAGCCCTCCTCAATTATAGCTTTGCAATCCTTATGCCTTTCCCAATAAGGCTCATATCGGAAGCTCCACCCCCAGGTAATTTCCTCTTCTTCAAGATCCAGCTTTACCTGAATCGGGATGTGATCAGATCCACAGCGGTCTAGATGGTACACCCTCATGTTTGGAAAAGCGTCCAACCAGTCTTTATTCCCCACTGCCCTGTCCAATCGTTCTTCAGTATAATCCCCATCGATTTTGTTGTTTTCCCATGTGAAAATTCTCCCAGAATAACCGCAATCCTCTAGCCCACAATAGTCGAGAGCTTGCCTGAACATGTCCATCTCCCTAGCCTCCGGGCCATGGTTTCCTTTTTTCTCCATGTAATCAGTTATGAGGTTGAAATCCCCAATCACCATCCAGGGCATTTGAACTCGGTGATAAAGATCTTTAAGCAGTTCACATGTCCTGTGCTTATTTTTCGCCTCTGGCCATCCATACAAACCAGTCAGACGCCATTCTCTTTGCGAGTCCCTCCATTTGATCTTTGCATCAATGTAATTTCTTGCATAATTCTTGACCTCCACAGTCACCTCCTCTTTCCACATTAGCAGGAGGCCTCCAGCTCTATTATCCCCTGCTTCTGCCCCTTGTCCATCGTAGTAGCCAAACTCCTTTATTTTCTTTCTCCATTCTTTCTCATACTGCCTTGTTTCCATCAAAAAAACCACCTCGGGATTGGTTTGACGTAGTAACGTCTTAACCTTTTCAACTGTCGGGGTATTCCCGAGCCCCCGACAGTTGTAGCTAAGAATGCTCATTGGGCTGGGCGGCCCTGAGTGCACTCAGGGTCCGCCTCACCGCCAACCATTTTTTTGCTATGTTCAAGTCTCTCTTCTTCTGTCAGTGTGGGGAAGCTAAGATTTTTCGCCTTTTTTTGGCTCTTCCTTTCATTTTCCCCTTGTGCATCATCCTCTTCTAGGGGGTTAATTCCCCTCTTTTGCGGGGTAAGCTGGGGGGGGTTTGTTCCCCTGTTTCTTCCCTGCTCCTGTCTTCTCCATACCTTCCCTCCTGTTCTCCTCTGGGTTTGTCCTATCACGTGACTAGCAGTTAGCTGTTTCACTGCTCCCTCTCTGACCGGTCCAGGTCTTCGTTCCTTTATTGCCTTCTTTTCCACTGGTACATCATCTCTCCTTCTCTCTTCATTGTTTTGAAGAGAAGCAGTCGGCTCATGGTCCTGAT